GGGGCACTTCCCCCCTATCCGCAATGCCCAGCTGATCATATGATTTCAGTGTTTACCTCTCCTGGTATCTTTTAAAGCAGTGTTTCTCAACCTTGGCCGGTTTAAGCTGTGTGGACTTCAACTCCCAGAATTCCCCAGCCAGCATGGGGCTAGGGAATTCCGGGAGTTGAAGTCCACACAGCTTAAACCGGCCAAGGTTGACAAATACTGTCTTAAAGTGTTCTAAACTGCTTTCGATCAGCAGCCATTGTAATTCCACCAGATGTTGCTGTTCTCCATGACTCTGAAGTGTCCCTGGTACCCAGAAGACAGGAAGGGGCGAGGAAAGAAGTGCAGGTTGGCAGTGGCAGAGCCACAACTAGGGAGAAGCTGGGATAACACCCAAACAAATGGGAGAAGGATGTGATGCTACCCAGTGGGATGGGAAGAGAAAAGAGCTGTTTGTGGGTGCCTACAGGAGGGCGATGGAGAAGAAGAGAACGGTGAAGAGCCAATTTGGAACTTGGAGAGCGAAAGCAGGGGCGGTAGGCGTGTGAGTGTACAGAGGAATGGGGTGATCCGGAAAGAGAAGGAAACGGCTGACCATCTCAGACTCCAGTTTGCTGTGATGGATTTGAAAGGGTCACCCAGAATGAAAGAGCCGAGGGTTGAAAGGACCACAAGCGTCTTGAAGTTCTGCCCGCTGGATGGTCAGACCTGCAAGCAAATGACTCGTCTGTCCCGCTCACAGCTTACCTTTCGTGAACAGATGCCTTGACCTGGACATTCGCTCTAAAGCAACCCTCATTTTGTGAGGGTGCTCAAGACTGCCTCAACATTCCCAATGGGCCCTCCAGCCCAAAAGATCCAAGGCTTCGGTTCAGCATGTTCTGAAGATTAGTCATTCGCTATCACAGTCAACATCTTGAAAGGTGCCTGGAATAGCTGAGAATTCCAGGAACCTGAAGGCCCAATGCATCTGGAGGGCACCAGGTTGGGGAAACCTGACACAGAACACTCTGAAGACTCGATAAGATTCTTCAGCTACAGAGGAGCCCTCGTCTCACCTCTTCTTTTAAGTCACCCAATTTCAACTCCCTCTGGATTGTTTAGCCAAGAGAATTTTTTTAAAAAACGTTAACTTGCGTATATGCTACAATTTTCAATCAGAGAGAGATGACAGAAAAAGGCTGCTTTCGATCAGCAGCCGTCGGAATCCCACCAGAGAATTTAATCGATTAAGAGGCTTGTATCTTACGAATTCAGTCTCTTTTAAGTTTGCAAGGAAAGAATATTGTTTCAGAAAAGAGCCTACTTTGTGTTAAGATGACATATGTATGGGAATATCAGAGGAAGTCATGCAATGCCTCCCTCAGGTAGAAGTGCTTCTAAAATAGTCCTGGCCTCCTAGTCTATGAAGATTGTATTCCCATTCAATTAGAATTCATGGTATTTTCTCACTGATCTTTGTTTGCCAAACTACAGTTACTCTTTGGATCTTTCAGGAATGTTTATAATGTAAAAGATCACGCGAGTTCTGTGCTATTTAAAGCACTGAGGGTTTTTCCCATGTGCCTATGATCCCTTTTAGAGACAATGTTGGATGATGGCTTTTATACAAACCAAATATGGGAGAAGCTGAGCTTTCAGCTTCCTTTGGCAGACAAGCCAGAATGCTTAAAATATTACACACTTAAGAAAGCACAACGAACTATTCAGATATTCTGTGAGCAGTTTCAAGGTGCCTGGAAATCACTACCATGGGGTAAGAGGAAAGGGAGAAATGAGAAAAACTTTTCAGTGTGCAAAAGTGAAACACGCACGCACAAATATTTATAGACAAGAAAAAAAGATATGAGAAAATGTCTTCATTTAAACATAGGAATATAATTACCCCAAAACTCTAAATAAATAGCTCATTCTTCTGTGGATAAATACTCTTGTCTGCTGGAATTCTACATAACCCTCCATTCAGTATTAAGTAAGGGTTCGATCCTTCAGCAAAGATATTAAAGCTGCTTTGCAAGAAAAAATAAGGATTTGATTACTGAGCTCTGTTTGTTTACTCAGAGATGACCTAATGGGATAATCGTTAGACAATGTTCTAAAAAAACACCCAATATTCATTTACTGGTTATATTTATACCCTATCTTTCCTCCAAAAAGGACACCTCATGTCTTTTTTCCAAGAACCCTATGACGTTGGCTGGGCTCAGAGAGCAACAGGCCCGACGTCATTCAGGAAAGTTCCATGGCTAAGGGCGGACGGGACCCTGTGGATCTCCCATCTAAATCCAGCCCTTTAATTGGTAGACTGTATTACACTGGCTCTCGGTGTAATTTACAATCCAACCATTTTTTGGGTGGAGCCCCTTAAAATGCAACCTTTTCCAGGCAAAAGCTGTCAGGTATTGAGCGTTGCGATTTGTTCAATATGGAGTGCCCCACCTTATAGCGGTGAGTGGGTTCTAGTTGGTTCCAAGGTTCCGGGTTATTCTTCTTGTCCCATCTATGCAAAAGAGAGAACAAAATGCACACCGTGTATTGTACAAACAAATGCACCTACTGTCCCTCAAGGCTCTTACGGAACCACAATGGCAACAATAGCGAATAAACATCCCTTTCTTTACAATCCCCTTACAGGAAGGCCACCATTCCTTCAGAAACACCCATCTTTTTATTCATCCCCAATAACAACAAACAGAATAGGGATGGATAAAACACTGTGCTGGAGCCCAAGCTCCCATCTAAAATCTGCCGACTTATTTATTTATTAAATGTATTCTCTGCTACAATCGAACCGCTCTTGGCGGTTTATATAGGTATTTAACGTACCAAAAGATTTAAAACATCCATGGTATGATTAAAATAGACACAAATTATAATGATGAACACCATCCCTGCCATTAAAACAGCATAAAGAAATTTAGAGGTCAACCTCAGCATTTTATATGGTACCTGCAAATGAACTGGCAACCAGCACAGGGCCTGCAGAATCAGAATATACTCCTTGCACCACGAGACAGTGAGTATGTGGGCCACTGCATTCTGGACCAGTCAGATTTTATGGGTAGTCTTTAGGGGCAGCCCCACATAAAGCATGGTACAGTGTCAACACCTGTTTCCCCAACCTTGGCAACTTTAAGATGTGTGGACTTCAGCTCCCAGAATTCCCCATGATGGCTAGAGAATTCTGGGAGTTGAAGTCTACATATCTTATAAAGTTGCCAAGGTTGAAAAACACTGGTCTAACTGGTTGGTAATGAGGTATGAGTTACTACAGCCAGGTCCTCCTGTGCTAGGGAACGCCACAACTGGTGCACCAGCCAAACTTCTACATTAAATTTAACTGTGCTTTAAAAAGCTGGCTGGCGCATTTAGGCACCGTGCTTTTTACAAGGATCCAATTAAATAGCTACAGCTAAAAACTACAACTCCAGCTCCAGCCTGAAAGTCATCAAAGCAGAGGTTTGCAGGATAGCAAGGCACATTTTACTCAGGAGGTGTTGCAAAAGGAGTGACTCGTACCTGACTTCTGGGCAGAACAAAGCAAGACGTAGAAGATACAGTCCCGCACCAGTTACCGCAGTCCCCATAATTAAGAAAAGTGGAATCAGCTATAAGACAGAGAAGATAATGAGATTAAAAAGGCAACCTTAAGAACAATAACTTGCTCCTTATACCTCTGAACCACGGATGGATGGAAGGATGAGAGATTAAAAATTCCTTTGTGTGTGCTCAAAATAACAATGCATTTGGGAAAAACAACAGGGGAAGGACAGAGTGCAATCCATCCTTCTCTCGTGTGTGTGTGTGTGTGTGTGTGTGTGTGTGTGTATGCGTGCGCACCCCTTCAGGTCAGTCTTGAGTCCTGGCAACTGCCTGGACACGAGCCCCTGCAGTTTCCCTGGCAGCATTCTCAGAAGCGGTTTGCCCTGGCCTGCTTCTTCCTGGACCGAGAGGAAGGGACTGGCCCAAATCACCCAGCGGCTTTGTGCCTGAGGCCGGACTCAGGGTCGCCTGGCTTCTAGCCTGGTGCCTTTAACCACTACACCAAGACGACTCTCCCCCACAGCTCCATCACCAGTGCAAAGCTGCCTGTCCCCAAACTTACAAGGCCAGCGTGCTATGGAACAGCCACAATTTTGGGTGAATCAGGGTTGTATTCCAGAGCTTTCTGAATAAATAATGTCTCTTGCCCGGGAAAAATGGACGAGAGAGAGAGATAAGATGGGGCTGGCGACCAGCTGCCCCTCTGAAAGCACAGCAAAAAGCTGTTTGAAACAGTCCTCCCCACAAAAGGCGCAAGCCACGATGGTTAAGCAGCGCAGACTAACTTTGGCTAAGGGGGAGGCAAGAGCCGTCAGCACCGCCTTTCAAGGGAGTTCACCAGGTCTGAAACCATTCTCCGATATCGCAGCCAAATTTATATCACCGCTGATGATTCAGAGGGGGGCCAAGAAAAAAAGGCTCTCCACAGAAGCGAGTATGTGTAGCGCAGCGTTGGGCTGTGGCGTCCTCTGAGCTTGGCCGTTTTCTT